GCAGGGCCCTGGGCCCCTCTCCATTAGCAGGTGAGAGCCGGCCCAGGACAGGCCGGGGGGTCGAGGCCAGGCTAGGAGGCCTCAGAGCTGTGTTCTGGGACGCAGACTGCACCCACCCCTCCTGCCACCCAGCCCTGCAGACAAGCCCTAGACAAGGCAGGCTGGAGGCCTCAGCCCATGGGGTGCTCCCCACTGGGGCCTGGGGGCGGCTGGGAGAGGCTCCTTGGGACCTCTGGTCCCAGAGTACCTCCCTTCTCTGCCCCTTTCCCAGGAGGCAGCCTGCTCTGGCTCCTGCCCCACCGGCCTCCAGCTCTCTGCCACCATCCCATCTTGCCCTCGGGCCAGCCTGCGAGAAACACAGATGGAAATACTTGTCCCCCCCTCGCTGAGGCCATAGGAGTCAAGGGAGCGAGGTGGGGCCGTGAGTTCCAGATGGACCCGCTGGGCTTGCTAGGGTGGGCCCAGAGACCCCAATCCTCAGTCAGCTTGAGCCAAGTTCTAGTGGATGGAGCAGCCAGGGAAGGTGAGGAAGGGTGGAGGGAGGGAGCGAGTGCCTCGCCCTGGAACAGGCCTGTGCTGTCCGGCCCAGAGCCGTGGTAGGACTCAAGGCAATGGGGCCCAGGCCCCCAGCCCTGTGTGCAGTGGCTTCTGGAAGACAACAGCCTGGCCTCTGAGCCTTCTGGAAGGCAGAGAGGGGCACCCTCTATTCCCTTCTGTCATTTCTGCAGGCTTGGGAACGAAAGTCCAGGTAGTCAGGTCCAGGTAGCTGAGCTCGAGAAAGCGCCAGGGAGGTGCTATGCTGCCTCAGCCCACTGGCCACTCGGCCTGGCCTGGCCTGCGGGACCACTTCAACTTGCCCTGGCTCCCTGCAGCAGGCCTCCAGGCTCTGGGAGAAACAGGTCAGGCTGGATAGCCTTCACAGAGGATCTTGCCAGCCGGGCCTGGAACCTCCCAGAGGACTGCTGGTTTCACAGAGAATGCATGGTCACCAGAATGCTTTTCTGTTGCTGAAATGTCAAGAGGCCTGAGTGAAGCAAACCAAACCTAGGCAGGTAAAGAGAAATCGTGGCTTCGCTGTGGGCCTGGGCAAGGGTAATAAACAGGAGGCTGATCTGGTGTGTACGGGAGGCAGGGGCGGGACCTGGGTTAGGGCCTGAGAGGGAGGGAAAAGGGCTCAGAGGAGCTAACAATACCGGGAGGGTCCAGAGAAGACCTGGGAGGCCCCCCTCTGTGTTGGGGGGGAGTAGGGCTTCATGGCTGGGAAAGTGATTAGCAGCGGCTGCTGCTGAAGTCCTGCCTGACAACCCCAGAGAGAAAAAGCTGTCATTCACTAGGGCGAACAAAGGTGACCACTGGAGCATGCACCCCCAACAGGCAGCCAAGGGTAGGGGTCCCCGCAGGTCTCCCCAAGCCCAGGCGATGGCTGGCTAGCTGGGGATTGTGGTTGAGGTAGATGAAAGGTTGGGAGCCTGTCCAGGGCCAGCTCCTGGCTCCCCGGACCTTCTGCAAGAGTCGGGGAAGCCCAGGAGCCACCCCCAACTCCCTGGGGTAGTAGATGGGCCGTTTGATCAGTGAGTGTGTAAATTGGGATTTTATGGCTCGCTTAGTCACTGCTGGAGCTGGGGCCCCCAAATTCCTCTGTGCCCCAGAATGCCTAATCTAGTCTGGAGCTTTCCCGAGGAGGGGAGGGGACACTCGCCCCCTGCCGAGTCTCCTCCCAAGGCCCGGGCTTTGTCATTTCGGGTTGAGCAGTTCAAATGTGCTAACACACTCCCTGGGGGCGCTGGGCAGTGGGACTTACCCGTCTGTGCTGTGATTGGCTGAGAGACCCTGGAAGGGGGGTTCTCGGCAGCAGCTGGGAGTGCGTGTCTGTGTGAGGGGAGGGGCTGGGGGTGTCCATCCCGCTCTGGCCACTGGGCAGAAACAAAGGGTCCCTACCTAGCCTGGAACCAGGGTCACGCCCAGGACTGGCTGTGTCCCTACCTGGTCAAGCTGGTTAGGGAGCCCACCTGTCCACCCCTGTCTCCCTCATTCCATCTCACAGTGTGGGAATGGACTCAGCGGGTGTTGAACGGAGGGAGGGGTGAGTGACCGCGGGAGTGACTGCATTTTCAACTGAGGTTGTGTCTGCTGGAATAATCGGCACCTACCAGATTCCTAAGTCCACCTAAGATTCCGAACCCGCCCTCTCCCCTTGCTAAGATGCATGTTGGGCCAGGCCTGGCCACGTGAGGCCGGCCGTGAGGGACACAGGCCTCAGGGGACACAGCTGTGCCCCCTGGACTGTTTCCACTTGAGAGTGCTTTCACTGCGGTCACGTTTCTCCCTCTCTGCCGGCCCCCATCTGTCTGGGGGATTTGGTGAGGATGAGGATGGCAGGCGAGGGAGGGCGGGAGGAGAGCCAAGCAGCTGAGGGGCCCAGGCAGCTCCGCCCAAGCTCCTCCCGGAGGGCCAGATGACAGACGGCCCTACCTTACCACCCTCTCTGCTGCCTCCCAGCTCCTGGTGCCAGGTGGGACAGGCTGGGCTGGCAGGGACGGGTCAGTCCAGCTGCCCGCTGACCTCCCTGGGGGCTCCCGGGGCAGCTGGAGTCCTGCCCAGGAGCCCCAAGGAAGGGAGACTGAGTCTTGAGCACGTCCGCAGGGCGGCTCTGTCCCAGGTCAGAGCAGCTGCCAAGGCTTGTGGGGTGCGGACAGGGTCCCCGGGAAGAGGGGCCACTCACCCCCGCCTGCTAAGCATGGGGATGTGGCTAGTGCCTCAGGGGACTTGACGTTTTAATTGAATAATAAACCTTTATTTTAAAGTAAATAGCAGTGATGTAAATTGTGAACTAATCACTTCTAGTGAATTGAAGTGTGAAGAGCCACCTGTGGCTGAGTTGCCAGGTGGCCACAGCACAGGGTGGAGGCTATGTTCAGAGCCAGACAAGTGCCTGGGGCGAACCCCCGGCCTCCAGGCCACAGCAGCCACTCCATGACCTGCAGACTGGCCCCGATCATCTGCACTTGGGGAGTCATCTGCGCTGGCCTGGCCTGTGGCTGAATGGGCCTTCGGAGTCAGCAGGGGCCAAGCTCCCAGAGACAGACCCAGAGCCGGGATGAGGAAGGACCAGGACCCGCACAGAGCCCTGGACAGGGGTGTCCTGGGAGCCTCCTTGGGTGTGTCGGCCCCACAGCTTCCTGGAAGCAGAGAGGGAGGCATAGTTGGGGGGCAGCTGAGAGCCCCAGCTTGGCCGCCCACTGCTCTGACCTTGGGAGAGTCTCACCAGCCTTCACGCCTCCTCTCTGAGGTGGGGAGAGGAAGGCCCGCCTGACAGGGGCCTGTGAGGGTGCTACTGAGTGCTGACTCGGAAAGTTCTTTGCAAACGCTGGAGAGCAGGTCCTCAAGGGTGCTGGGCCCCTGGACTGGCCTCTCAAGACGACAACAGATGGTCACAGCTTGTCTGTGGCCCTGACCGCGGACGCAGGCAGGATTTCTGCACTCTCCCCTCCCCCAGCGTGAGCACGCACAGCCCAGATGGGGGGCCCACTTGGCCAGCCCGGCTCAGGCTGACCGCCTGCTGTTTGGCATTTGACATATGAGGAGTCCAGGGCCAGCACACACCCCCACCCCCAGCCCAGAGAGGAGCCAGACCGGAGGGGAGGCCTCATCACCTCTAGAAAGTGGGACCCGAGGGCCCTGATCTCTTTAACATGTGTCCCGGGGCCTTTGATGGGAAATCCATGCCCCTTTTGTCTTTTCCCAGAGGCCTGCCTTGGGGAAGAAAGGAGGCGATTACAGGAAGGTCAGGTGGAGTCCCGGGGGGCTGGCCTGGGCGCCCCTCAGCCCCAGCCAGGTCAGCATGGGTGTTTCCGCGGGCGCCAGGAGACACGGACCCCTCGCTCTCCCCAGGAACGTGTGGCTTTGCCTCTTCCCACGCTCACCACGTCAGGGGCCCCCAAGGCTGCTTCTCGCCTGTCTGGCTCTAGAGGCAATTTCGAGGCTCTCTGCTCATCCGTCCGCCCCTCGGTCCGACCAGCCTGCAGGCTAAGAATTTGTTGGGTGCCAGGCACTGGCCTAGATAGTTACGAGAGTGAACAAAACAGTCCCAGGGAGTAAAAGACTAAAGCCACAAACGGGAGCAGAGCAAGATGCAGGGCGGGGTCCCCTGGGGAGCGGGGTCTGGGGGGCTGGTCAGCGGAGCGGGGCAGGCCCAGAGCAGGCTGAGGCCACATGTGGGCAGCGGGAGCCTGTGTGGCTGGAGAGAAGGTCTGAGGGTGACGAAGCAGATTCCTTAGGACCCAGCTGATATCGCGAGGACACTGGCTTTTATTCTGAGGAGAGAAGGGCTGGGTGGACGCCATATCCAGGGGCTATCGTAACTCTTGCGTGAGAAGAGGGTGGGGGGGGGCACAGGCTGGAGCCAACTGTGTCCAGCAGATGTGGGGACGCTGCAGGCGGGAGAAGGGGTTGCGGCTTGGATCCATTCTGACGCCAGGTCAGGGCCGGTGTGACTAGACGGCCTGAATTGTAAGAGACCAGTCAGCGATGAGCCTGAGGGTGCTGGCACTAGCTGGAGAGGAGCCAGGGGGAGTTGGGGTGGACGAGGAAGTTAGAGCTTGATTTTTGGATGTTGTTGTGCTGATTAAAATCTGAGTGGAGGCCTCCCTGGTGGCACAGGACTTAGAGCCTCACACTGTGAAGCTGTCGCAGCCGCTGCAGCAGGAGTTTGATCCCCGGCCCCGGAGGTGACCCACATGGCGCGGCAGACCTCTCCTGACCGCCCACAGCTCCCCTCAGCAGTGTTTTCCAGTCAGTCTGCCTGTTCTGCTCCCCACTCTGTCTCTGAATCCTCTTAGCCCCTATACCTCTAGCCTGTACCCCAGTTCTTGTGTGCGTAAATAAATATATCTTAAAAAAAAAAAAAAAGAGGGCCCTCCCTGGCCCTCAGGGAGGTTAAAGCACAGCACTATGAAGCTATGGGCAGCCACTGCAGCACGAGTTCAATCTCCAGGGCGCAGCAGACCTCTCCTGTCTCCCCGCTGCTCCCCTTACAGCGTGTTTCAGTGGGATCCACCCATTCTGTTCTCCACTGTCTCTGGTGAGTCCTGTCATCCTCTCTTACCCCCCACACCTCTGGCCTACACCCCAGCTCTGTTTGCATAAATAAATAACTCTCTAAAAATAAGTAAGTCTACACACATTCAGAGAGGTATCAGAAAGGAGGTGCTGGAGGGAGGGTGGGGGGCGTCTAGGCTGGAAGCCTCTCTGTCTTCCATGCACAGGCCACAGTGACGGCCAGGGCTGGCTGGGGCAGGAGGCCAGGGAAGAGGGGCTCCGGGCCTGAGCTCAGCAGGGAGGGTGGAGAGCGCTGGGAAGAGGCTGAGGGGCGAGCGAGAGGGCCAGCGAAGTTCCTGGGCAGCTGGGCCATCAGCTGAGTCCGGTGCTGCTGAGCTAACTGTGTGGTCACGCACAGAGCTGGCTGGCATGTGGGGGGAGCTTGACTGTCAGGTGCGTGAGGGAGGACAGCAGCGACAGGGCCAGACAGTACTGGGAATTATAAACTGCCATGGTTTTGTTTTGGCAAGAAGCAGGAGAAAGCAATTATTTGGAGAGGCGCTAAGAAATCCTTTGAGTCCCGACCCCCCTCTAAGATGGGAGGAGTACCTCAGATACTCGCTGCTATGGTCTGTGGAGAATGGCCTGGGAGACCAGGAGAGGGGAGTGGCCCTCCGTGTCAGGGGCCTGGCCTCTCTCCTTGCTGCCGGGAGGACTTGCCCGAGAAGCCAGGGGGCGCCAGGCCTCGGAGGCCAGGGATCCTGCTTGCCGCGGGGCCTGCAGGGTGGCGGGAGGGCGCCTGGGCCAGGGCCAGATTTCCTTAGGCCGCTGCATGGAGAGAAAACTGGCTCGCGTCCTGTGGTCTGAGGGCTCCGAGAGGCCGGGGCATTCACAAACGGTGAGCAGGACGAGCAGCGGCCCCCCGCAAGGCACAGTGAGGATGACCCCAGGAGAGGGAGGCCACGCCGGTCCCCACGGACCACCAGCAGGCAACGAGGCGCCTGTTCTCAGGTGCCGTGACCCCCAGCCTGCCCCCACGCCCCCAGTTCTTCACATGTCTGCAGCCCTCGGGCCAGGGAGGGACAGGGAGGTACAGCGGTGGCCTCTTCCCTCAGAGGTCTGCACTTCAGTTTGCCTCTCTGCCCCTCACCGTCCGTGCAGGTGGGCCAGTGGCCGAGGCACTTTGGTCTCCGCAGGCAGCGTCCGGCCCTGCCACCGTCCTGTCAGCTACGTAAGGGGGCTGCCGTGGGCAGCGAGTGAGCCAGGCCGGGGTCAGCTCCCAGGCTGACCGCACTCAGGCCACAGCGGCGTCGCTGTCGGTGCTGAGACGCGGCCCAAGCGCCTGTGTGTGTCTTTCCCTTCCACTCCCGCCCTTCCCCGTCGTCTTCGGTCCCGCCCCTCCCCGTCATCTTCGGTCGGTGCACGGCCACCTTGTCTTCCTGGTGGACGAGCGTCCCCGAGGACGGCCCAGGCTGGCGTCAGTCCTGCATGTCCACGCCAGCGCGGCCACCGGCCGTCCCGTGCAGGCTGAGCCTCGGGGCTGCACAGTCCAGGCTGCGAGCCGGGGCCCGCGAGTCTCTGGGGCAGGTTCTGGGCATCTGGTTGTGCCAGGGCTGTTCCTGGGGGTGCGTGGACGTGCAGAGGCTGTGGAGGGTGACCAGTCTTCTGAGGCCCTCTCGCCACCCCCCTTCTCCTCCCTAGTGGGGCGAAGAAGTTGGCAGCGGGGCCCAAAGCCTGGGGAACAGTCCTGTTCAAGTTCTGCCGGGCGCCAGAGAGCCCGAGGCACCCGTTGTGAGCAACAGACAAAAAGCTTGAGACAAAGCCGCAGAGAACAGATTGATGAGGTTTCCCAGCCCGACAATGGGATTCTCCTCGCCAGCCCCTTTGTCCCAGGCCGAGATAATGGAGCGGGGGAGCGGGGAGCCTTCCCCACTCAGGGGGGAGCCGCCACACAGCTGCCCCCACCCTGTGCCGCTGGCCCTGTCCAGTCCGGCCCTCCCTGCCCCCTGGCATCTGGTCAGAGTGGCGGGGCAGGGGAGGGCTGCTGGGTGTCTGGGTGTCAGGGTGCGGGCACTGTGCGCCCTGCGGGGCTCCCCGCACTGAAGGCTGCGGCCCCAGCGACGCCGGCCCACGCCATGACCACAGAGCGGTGCCGGCCGGGGCTGGGTGTCCGGCTGGGGGTCAGTGACAGCGCGGAGCCGCCCTGCCAGCGAGGAGACGCACGAGGCCTGCGCGGGCTGACACTCTGTGCCTCTCCCTCGCTCCGCGGCTTCCCCGGAGCCAGAGGGGGGTTTCCACCCAGGGCCGCGGGTGTCCTGTAATTCCACCCAGTCCTGACGCTGTCTCCTGGGGGTCACGTCTCCCCGCAGCCCCGTCCGCGTCCGTGGCCAGGCCGAGCTCCCCGTGGCTCTGCGCGGGCTCCTCTGGCCTGCTGGAGCGGTGCAGGCCCGGGGCAGCCGGCGGCTTACCGGCTTACCAGTGGGTCGCAGCAGGCTCCGGGGGCACGAGGACAGGACGGGCCTCCACGCCCCGCACACCCCCTGCCCACACCACACGTGCCTGGACCCGAAGCTCCCGCAAGCTCAGCCCTTGGTTTGTGGAGGCTGCAGGAGGCAGACAAGCGGGTTAGTCATGGGCCTCCTGCGGGAAAGAGCTTCCAGCTTCTCGCTCCTTCTTAGGGTGTGTGAGTGTGCTGGGGTGTGTGTGAGTGTGCTGGGGTGTGTGTTCACTGGGGTGTGTGAACTGGTGTGTGTGTTCTGGAGTGTGTGTACTGGCGTGGATGTGTGTGCTGGTGTGTGTGTGTACTGGAGTGTGTGTACTGGGGTGTATGTGTGTACTGGGGTGTATGTGTGTGCTCGGGTGTGTGTGTGCTGGGGTGTGTGTGTGTGCTGGGGTGTGTGGTACTGAGGTGTGTGTGTGTGTGCTGGCGCGCGTGTGTGTGTACTGAGGTATGTGCACGCTGGGGTGTGTGAACTGGTGTGTGTGTGTGTTCTGGAGTGTGTGTACTGGCGTGGATGTGTGTACTGGGGTATATGTGTGTGCTGGTGTGTGTGTGTGCTGGGGTGTGTGTGTGTGCTGGCGTGTGTGTAAGTTCTAACTTTCTAATCATGGCTGTTCCCCGGGGAAGCGGATCTCAGCCTTGGGAGGGTCTTTCCAGAAACCACATCTTAACAAGAACTCGGGTGTTGTTGAAAGCGGCTGGTAATGAGTGATGAGGTACCACCTCACCTGTCTGGCTCTGAAGCTACTTCCACAGGTGAGGACCGCAGGCCGGGTGCTATAGCAAACGATATCCCTATTGCTCTAATGCTCGGTATATTGGGAGCTGTGGGCCAGGGACTGTGGACAGAGTAAATATAGTTTTCATGTTGTAAATCAAAGTATTACAGCGCCCTGGGCATGGTCCAGGGGGGAGAAACTGGCATTGAATGTTTCGGCCGTTTGTGAGGGCTGAATCACTTCGTTCATTGATCCTGGAAAACATCTGAACTCTTAAGGAATTAAGGGGCTTATGGGATTCTTTACCCTCCCATCCAGTATTTCTTTCCACTACTATTCATTGATCATCTGTGAATACGAAGGCTGCATTCTGGGTAGAGTCAAGGGAAGTTCCAGCTTTCTGTGCGTGGGAGGGCCCTTGGCTGGCCAGGCCTGCAGAGTCCAGGCTCCCGGGGAAGGCCACAGGCCTCGATAAGGAGCAGGGCCCAGCTCAGGTACGCGAATGCTTACAGACACCAAGTTTTCAGGGAGAGGGACAGCCCGTTGGCTGTTTCGCACGAGAGGACACAGCCCCTCCTGCTTGGGCTGCTGAGTGACTTGGGATCTCCCTCCGGGGGCTGGCGCCCCCAGCCACGGATCCAGGGTAACAGGAGGAGAAGGCAGTTCCCTGGCCAACACTGGCACCTGTCTCCGTAGGTCCAGGAGACGGTTAGAGGAGGCCGCGCCATGGCCTCAGGCTCTTCTCTGAGAATAACGGCCGGGTGGGAGGGTCCTGGCTCTGGTCAGACTGCTGGGTCTGCGTGACCGCGGTGCGGCACCTCCCTGTATCCAGGCTCAGATGTAAAGTGGGGACCGCCCTAACGGGCCACTGTGAGGCTCAGAAGATGCGTCCATGAAGCACAGGTGGGGGCCGCGGCCTCAAGCCAGATGCCGGGGAATGGCATGAGGGCTGCTGTCATCAGCGCTAGCAGGTGCTCTCTTGAAGCACAGTAGTCCTCCCAGCCCCCGGGGGAGGGGCTGTTTGCAGTCTCTCAGCAAGGCGGACTTGGGTTCCCCACTGGACCCGGCATGCTTGTATCTCCACAGATTCCGCCCTGACGCTCACACCGACTCTCCAGGCGAGCTACGCCTTCAACAGCTGGGAAAAGGGAGGTTCCGGGAGCCGGGCAACGTGTCCGGGGGAGGTGTCAGTACCTGAATTCGACCCAGGTCTCCCTCATTCGAAGCCCACACGCCTCTCTTCTAGCTCACAGCGTGGTCTGTGGCGTGAGAGAGGCGGGGAGTCCCTTCTTTGGGGAGAGGCCTCCTAGAGGTTCTTGCAGAGCTGGAGGGCTGGGCCTCAGGCCAGCGTCGAGGGGTGGGTGCCTGGACCCTGGGGCCTCCTCCTGCCAGGTGGATGTGCGTGGAGATGGAGGCGTAAGCGAGCTGTGCCTCACCTGGGACGGAGGGCCAGTGTCTGGGGAGGGCAGAGATCAGGGGAGCAGTAAGAAGACGAAGCCCCCCAGGGAGGGGTGCATCCTGGACAGGAGAGAGGGGCATGAGGCTGGAGCTCAGGTTGGGGGTCAGAGGAGGCCACAGCGCTGAGGTGGGCAACCTGTGATGACAGGTTGGGGTGTCCTGAGGGTGGGGGCTTGAGCAGCAGCCTGGGGCGAGGGCCGGGAGGTCACAGGGGGACAGGGACATGGCGGAGGAGGGTGCATGCAGGGTGTGGGCCCAGTGCGAACCAGAGCGTGCCTTACTGTGTGTGCACGTGGGGGGTTCTAGAGGGAAAAGGAAGTGTCGCCGTCCAGGCCCAATCTTTTATCCATTTTAAGGAGGCAAAGCACTGACAACTGGGAGCAAATGAAAACAGGTCCAGGGTCCACGTGGTGACGCCTCCCTGCATTTGTGTGACTGACATCACCTTATAGAGCAAGCTGTAGCCAGAAACACGCGTGATTTCCTGGCGGCCAAAAGGATTGTTCCCTTTGATGCCGGGTAATGCCTGTTCTCTGGAGACCCCTTCCAGGGTCTGCCCCGGGCCCTGGTGGCCAGGATTCCTCGGCAGGAGGCGAGGCAGCCTTGCCCACTCCATCTGCCCTTGTACATTAGCGTCCCTGGCTCAAGCCTTCCTGGGGTCGTGACAGCTTTACTTCCAAAGACTCTGCTCTCCCGCTGGCGTCAGCTCAGGCCTAAGCAGTGTCAAGCAGCCGCTGCAGATGTGGGCGGCCGTGGAGAACCTGGGATGCGAGCTGGGCATTTCCAGCCTCCCTGCCGCCCGCTCCACGCCGCCCAGAGAGACATCTAAGTGGGGGCGATCTGTGCTACCCGCAGGCCGGCTTGGGGGTTTATGAGTTTTCCAGAAGGTGGCAGTAAACTGTCTCGAGGAAGGGGCCGGGGCACATGTATCAGCCCAGCGCCAGCTGTCTGGGCTCACAGTGCTCCTCGGAAGGTGCTGGAAGTCCTCCTGCCCGTCTGGGCCCTGTCGCTCTGGTCGCTAAGACGCCACCTGCCCGGGAGGCCTCCTCCACCCGCCCCCAGCGCATCAGGCACCTGCTGGTTAGTTCTCCCTCCCCGCCGAGGATGCTGTCTACCTGGCCGAAGCGTCAGTCGCCTTCCCCCTGCCCCACGCCTAGTGCGTCCCTTAGAGTCTGGTCAGTGAAAGCTGCTGAGGAAGACACTGAGCCTGAGGTTACCTTCTTCCATCAGAAGCTGAGCTTGACATGGTCAGCAAAAATCGATTCTGGGTCCATTTAGCCTTGGGGATTTTGTTCTCGGGCCAGGCCCAGTCACGGAGCGTGTGCCGGACAGCCCTCCCCGGCTCGGCCTCGTCACCGGACGCTCGGAGGACCTGCCCAGCCCGCCTCACGGCCTGGGTGCCGGCTCCAGGAACGTTCTGTATCTCTGTGCCAGGAACAGTTTTGCTTCTTTGAGTACTGGTGTTTTTTCCTTTGTGGAGTATGTCTGACCTCTCTCTTTTCCTGGTTCTGGGAGCTCAGAGACAAACCTGTGACCCACTTTCTAGGACATGCATCGGCATAGTAAGCCCCGCCTCTTCTGGCACAGGACGTCTACTAAACAATTCTTTTGTGTTGGGGTGAAGACAGCCTGAAACGGGGTCAGGCAGCAGCAGCAGCTCAGGCTCACAGCCCTCGGGCACGGGGTGGGCCGGAAGCCGGGGGCTCTGAGTCCATCAGGCAGCGGGGAAGGGAGACCCTCGGAAGAAGCGCGTCCTTCTGGGCGAGGAGGATGAGCTCTGCCAGACACCTGCTGCTCTGGCCCCAAGCGAGGCTGAGGGAAGCAAGAGCGTCAGCAGAACTGCCCGGTGGCCAGGCCAGGCGGGACCCTGAGCAGGCCACGCACATCCTCGCACAATCCCAGTGCCAACACCCGTCACTGAATAGCCCCCTGGGCTGTCCATCCCCTGGGCTGTCCATCCCCTGGGCTGTCCATTCCCACCGTTGCCTGGTTTCCTGACCCTTCATTACCTGTGTTCCAGGGCAGTCGTGGCCTGGAAAAAAATAATACTCGTTGCCTGTAAGATGAGTTAGGGCCAAACATGTTTCCAGATTCCTCTTGGAATTTGGGAAAGTTTATTTTTTGAGATTTATTTATTTATGCACACTGTAGGCCCAAGGTGGGGGGCGGGGGTGGTGGGGTGAGAGGGTTCACCAGAGACAGTGGGGAGCAGAACAGGTGGATCTACTGAAACACTGCTGAGGGGTGTAGCGGGGAGACAGGAGAGGTCTGCTGCTCCCTGGGGCCCTGGGGGTCCCTCCCTGGCGGGGATCCAATTCGCCCTGCAGCGGCCGCGGCAGCTTCCTAGTGCGGAGACTTGGCCCCTTGCTCCATCAGGGCGGCCCTTTGGGCAGATATTGCAGGTGACTTTAATCTTGGAGTGGGGGCAGGGCACGAGTTGTGCATTCGGCGCCAGGAGAGGGGTGCCCACGAAGGCGGGCTGGAGGGTGCTGGCCCGCGGGCCTGTCCTGCGCTGTGGTTTGCGGCGGCTGGGCCCTCGGGGCTCTGCAGGACCTCACCAGCCGCTTCTCTCTCCCTACAGTTCTGTCGAAGATGCACTGGACACCAGAACACGCCCAGCCCCTCAACCAGTGGCCAGAGCAGCACCTGGACGTCTCCTCCACCACCCCTTCTCCGGCCCACAAGTTGGAGTTTCCCCCAGGAGGTCGCCAGCGCTGCCACTACGCTTGGGCACACGACGACATCTCTGCCCTCACCGCCTCCAACCTCCTCAAGCGCTACGCCGAGAAGTACTCAGGGGTCCTGGACTCGCCCTACGAGCGCCCCGCCCTGGGCGGCTATGGCGACGCCGCCTTTCTCAACGGCGCCAAGGGGGACCCCGAGCCCTGGCCAGGGCCGGAGCCCCCCTACCCCTTGGCCTCGCTCCACGAGGGCCTGCCGGGAACCAAGCCGGGAAGTGGGGGCGGCGCCGGGGGCCTCGGGGGCTCCCCGGTTTTAGCCGGAAACCTTCCTGAACCCCTCTACCCCGGCAATGCGTGCGGCGGCCCCTCGGCGGCGCCCGAGTACTCGGCGAGCTACGGCGGGGGGTACCTGGCCCCCGGTTACTGCGCGCAGACCAGCACCGCGCTGGCGCC